GCAATATATGGTTTAAACAACAGTTCGACCATTACAAAACAATTATAACGCTTGTTATAAAATAAAGAGAAGAGTAGTTGATGGATCCATTTTTATTTCGTTCGTTCTCGTCAGCTGCTTACAACCTGTGATATTTAAAAATCATAATTACATAATAGGTTTAAATTACTTACATGAAAGAGTTTGATTGGAAGTTTTATGGAAGACATATTCGTATAGTATAGCAAGGGTGTAAATAAATTTTGTAGACTGAATATTGTAAATATATACCTTATGTAAAAGAACATTGTGACAACAGTTCAAAGGGCTAGAAACAAGTAAACATTGATAGGAATAAAATGAGTAGAGTTCAGTTGATAAAATAAGATTACTAATTTGGAAGATAGTTGAAATAAAGCTCAATGATGTGATAAGTGCAAGAAAGAGTTCAAAGAAAAAGGAAAAAATATTAGGATACAGCGAAGGAATATTAGTCACCAAGGCAAGGAAAGATTAATAACCATCTCCTTTTGAACACATAAATCAGGTTTTTGGCGTCTGATAGCAACTGCTTCAGCAAACTTTAGAAGACTGGATTTTAGCTGCTTACCAATCACCTTGATATCCTGTATCAAGATGTTTGGTGATTGCCCTATTTAGTCTTTCTTTCTCTTGTTCTGAGGCTTTTTGGAACATGTTCAAAAAATCTGAGACTGTGGCCATTTTTGCAATGCGTTCCTGGACTCTGATCATGTCTTGGTTTGCACCAAGCTTATCCTACGTTTCACTGACCAACTAATTCATTGTCCTAAATTAATTGATGTAAGCAACATCCGTTGCAACCAAATATCAAACCGAGTTAGGTTTAAGGTTAGCTGTCAATCCACCAGTATATATGAGTATTATCTACATCTGCATAACTTTGTGAAAATGGCTGCTCACTTATTTTGTGGCTTTGGGAAATTTCCGACCCATGAAGATTTTGTTCCTAGAGTCTTTTTCACAATTCGTTGCTTCATATATATATATATATATATATATATATATTATATATATATATATATATATATATATATATATATATATATATATTTACTCACCTTGAGCTGATTTACATATGCCAGAATGTGATCATTTGCAGTTCGCACCAACAACAGGAAGATTAGAACTCCGAGAAAATCAATTAAACGTAATGTTTGTTGTTTGATGATTTCCATATTATTCGAGATTATGCTTATTTGGACTTGTGAGCTAAAATCTGGTTTACCTTAGTTGTTAATAAATTCTCTAAAGAACTAACTCTGCAGTTTGGGGTTCAATGTTTATTGTCTCATATTTGGTGTGGTGAACCGATAGTTTGCTATTACTACTTTCTAGATTATAATGAAGATTCAAATATGTGTTTTCTTTTGCCTCCATTTGTTGCAGCTATACATGGCTAGATGCCAATGAAACTTTGAAATCTATGGTCGATTTACTACAATTAAATTCATCCGATCACCAGTTTATTAGCACATCCCCAACACCCTGCTGGATACCACTTCATGCACCAATAACTCGCAAGCATCAGCTCCTCTACTCATTTTCAAATGAATCACAAGAGAAGAGAATCTCATCGTTCAAAAATTCACTTAATGAACCAATTATTTTAGGTTGGCCATCCACTTTGCGAGCCTGTCCCGAGCTTGAGGAACTAGTGAGTGTTGGACGAAGCTTGTCGTTATCATGTTTCTCAGAATTAGAGCTAAAAAAGTAGGTTGTTTGGTCTTTAGAATTTATATATTGGACATCAATGTATTTATGATACTAATGGTGTACTTATATGCTAAACGGGTTTCATACTATATTGTTATTACTAAGTTTAGTGTTGTATGATGATGAGACGATGGAGATGTACGAATTCTCACTTAGCACCTTTGGTGCCTGGGAAAGTTGTGTGTTGTACAATAAAATAAGAGTCCGTTTTTCAATGAAAACTTAATGCCGAGCTCAGTATGCAACTTATGCTGAAATTTGAGTAAAACGCTAGGCGCTTACTTCGGCATTGGCAAACATGCTATGTTAATCTCTCGTTTTAGCAAAATTCGCGATATTGATTTCTTTAGTGGTGTAAAGTAGACCGAAGACTTCTCATAAGGAACTTTCTTCTACTGGTTAGTTTTCACGTTATGTTATATAAAATACAAATACTTGTGTTATCTTTTTCAGGCATTCATTATGGCTCAAACGTGTTTCTACCTTGTCAAAACAAGTGCAAGAACTAAGTGATATACACCCACAATCATGTGCAGGCGTTGATGGTCCGGCTTGTGCAGTCATCATAGTTGATCCAGAATCGAATACTGCATTAGCAGAATCAACTACACCTACAATAACATCAGATATATCTTGGTTAGATCATGCAGCATTACTTGCTGTATCAGCTGTTGCTAAATTAAAACAGAATACAGGAAATCAGTACTCTGATTCTTACTTGTGTACAGGTTTTGATGCATACTTTTCACTTGAACCATGTCTGATGTGCGGTATGGCTCTGCTTCATAATCGCATTCGGCGAGTTTTCTGCTGCCAAAAGCTTGCAGGCGACGGCGCATTTAGTAATGCAAGCCGTCTTCACGTGCAGGAACAATTAAACCATCGTTTCCGAGTATTTAGTCCGCCATAAATGTCTATGGGATGTTTTATATCAGTGTACTGACAATAAATGAAAAATAAACTACATCTTTTTGTCTTTTTATCAGGGAAGTGATTTCACATCATATGTTGTGGCGCTAATTATGACTTAATATATTCCGCCTCGTTAATTGTGGACTTCTACTGTATATGCTCGGGCGCATTCAGCTTACAAATCCTTACTATTTTGGATTATTATAAATCAAAAGATCTGTACACTATTTGTGATACTTAAGCATTTTTTTACTTCTGAGTTTAACTACTTGAAACCAGCCATGTTAACCAAGTGAACCTTAAAAATGCGAAACTAGCTATCGATTAACATAAATTGTCTGCGACGATTTTAAATATGCCTTTAATTAAAACGAACGGATATTAAGGTTTTGTCCATTCTTCTGCAAACAGTTTGTTAAATATTATGGAATAATCTTGATCTTTTTTGTCGTAACAGTTCTTATGTCTGACTTTTGGGGATTAACTGCTACTAGGAGGTCCACTTTTCAACTAAAAGTAGCATTCATGATTAACAAAGACTCAGCAAACTAGTATTCAGGATACGCTTCCCTCCCTTTGAATTTACAGTGGTGACGTAAAACTGGTTTGATTTTGCGGCTAGTTTGGCAATAAGTAATTTAGTGTAGTGACAACCTCATTTTTCAGTTTTGTCAAACCCCTCTGAACATGAAGAAACTGTCAATCGGGTTAAGCTGGGGTTATGTGTAATGAGTTATTTAAGGATACTAGGTCGATTAACAGGGTTAAACTTTCATCGGCTGAAATGCATAGGACATACAAAACATCGCCTACTCGACAAACAATAGTGAGCGTCATAGTGCGCCGGAGACAAGCTAATAGTCCGATCGATGGCCAATCGGGTGCATTTCTTTTTCCTTGATCTAACCTTTTGTTTTGGAATTAGATTTTCAGTCAAACTAGTAAGCATATATGCCTGTTATATAAATTCAGTTCGATGGTCTGTGTTAGGACCTGCCATAGTAGATAATCTTCACAAAATTCAGTATTGACTTAAATCCAAATTCTTTTACCTACCTGCTACAACATAGGAAGCTTATAAATTCAGACTAGTGTCTTTATCAAGAGTACTAACTTCTCGATCCTGCACGAGTCATGCTGTCTATCCATAGTAATGTTGTGCGAAACATTTACAGGATCGTGGACTAGTAAACCGCTTCTCAAACAGTTACACGGTAACGAACATTAATGCACAAAACGTAACAAGTTCATCCAACGATTTTGTGCTACTAATCGTGAGGGGATTAGAGAACACAACTCTCAGAAACAAAGTGCGTGGACATCAGCCTAAACTAGTAATCAGTGTCTTAACCACTAAACGAGTGACATGCCGATACGAAAACATTTCTTAACCTATCCTACGGCAACTAATAAGTCTGCAAACTAAAGTTACGCTGCACTGCGCAAAGAAAATCCTAAACACGCTTCTCACTCCGAATTGAGGATCTTATAATTCATACTATATGGAGGGCCCAACTAGTCATACGCTTGGTATCTTTGAGCAACGTACATTTGAGATTTCAAGCCTATACAACGCATCCGGTATATTCAGAAACAAGTAGCGCCATGAATAACACTTGGTTGGTGGAGTCCTCATTAAGAATCGAATGGCTGTCACATTTTAACGGTTAAGACCTCTGAAGTTATCTTAACAGATCCTCACAGTCTCGTTTCCTATTAAGCTTTCAAATATAATCTATTTAGCTTCAGAACAAATACCTCTCGTCATGTAGCGTTGTCTAGCCTTTTTGGTCTAAGCAAAAGTACTGATATGAAAACGGCCAAAATATTGCGCATCAAACGTCGTTAAGACATCAAAAACCATCGTTTTCAATAGTATACTTAACACATCGCACCACATAAATAAACTGAACAGACTGTACGACGAGATTTACACCTGAAAAATAAACGTAGCCCATGTAGAAGAGCATTGTGGTGAAAACATCAATGACCCGAGAAAGTTGAGTACTCTTCATACAGAGGTCTCCAATATACTCAGTAACACAACGGACTTTCGAAACGACTAAACAGTACAGAACTTATAGGTACTATAAATATCATGTTCTCCGCATTGATAATTCCAAAACTTTGCGCTAGTTTATTTTTAGTAGAACTCAAGTCACGAAGTTCCTGATATGTATGTATTCTGCATACTGTCACTAGGTGAAAAGTTAATGCATAATGGTAAAGAGAATAGAAAGACACTTTGAAATTCTGCACGGATTCGTGTAGGATACGGAACTCAATATTCAACTGAGTAATCCTTAGTGAAGTATCATTGGGCCAACGCAATAATCACTGGAAAATAAGCGGTGTGAATCACTAAAACGTTTATTACATGTGTTGTACAATCTCGAAATATCTCAACGAAATATTTTATTTACATATACAAACCAAGTAAACGCAATTATTGCTCAGTTTTAACCTTTTTTGGTGCTCTGAAGAAAAACAATTAAATGTAGAATTCTAACTTACCGATACTGAGCAGTTACCATAGCGTGACCACGTTCGAATGGTTCAAGGGTAACCTGTTCACGTGGAGTGAATTGTAATTTTCGTAGTGTATCTACTTCCTTTGCAAACACAACCTCAGGAGCAGCAACCGAGTCAATACATGAGGCTTTGATGGATATAACAGCATGACCTCCGTTTTTTAAGTAGTACTCGGCGTTGACCCCCACTATTCTAGACTGATCAGGTTGAGCGACATCAGCAAATATACAATCCACCATACCTAAAACATATTAACCTTTAATATATGCATACCAACAAGCATCCTGTATTTGTGAGGATGTCTAGCATCTTCTATTATTGGAACCACATTTGTTCGATGCTTAGCGACATTCAAAAGATCACGTCCTGAACGATGCGAGAATTCTACAGCATAAACTACTCCATCTGCGCCGACTACATCAGAAACATGAGAGACAGTAGTTCCGCTAGCAGCTCCCAAATACAAAACACGACTCCCTGGCTTGATATGAATCTGATCAAGCCCGTTAACTATGCCTGCTGCTAATTTCGATCGAAATGGATTCCACACTCTGTATTCAATTTTACCACCCGCGTCATCCTCTACGCTGATTCGCTTTTCACCATAAACAGACTCGCCGACGACAACATTTCTCGTTACCAAGCAGTCCTCTTTGCCTTTAGCAACAAAAATACCTTCATGTCTATGGGGCTCTATCAACACTTTTTTCCCTCCTCTCATTCCTCCACGTCCACCCCTCCCTCGAGGTGTCCCCCTATTGAAACCTCCACGACCTCGACCACCAAAGTCACCTCGTCCTCTACCACGTCCACCGAAGTCACCCCACGTCCACCTCTGAACCCGCCTCTCTCACTGAAACGTCCACCTCTACCTCCACCTCGGCTTTCATCACCAACACTTTTCTCACCACCGAAACTATGCCTCTGACCACCTCTACCGCGTCCGCCTCTAAAATTTCCGCCTGATTCTTTAATATAGGAGTGATGAATTTAACATGAAACTACAGCTTACCTGGTTTCATCGATATAAAGCACGCTGTTGCAGCGTCTCAGTTGAATTATGTCCAAGGTCAGATTCAGACTTCAAATTCAGATTTGTGTAGTAAGGAGAGAAGGCCTATGGCCTTTGTTATTCCTTTTCTAGTATGCTTCTGTGAGTGTCCAGTCTTCTCTTGAAAGAGTCAAGTGAAGGTGCAGACACCACTGCTTCAGGCAGCAGGTTCCAAGTATTGATGACTCGGTGTGAAAACCTGTATGCCACGGGTATTTTGTTCGTTCTTGGCTTTTCTAGTCTCCTGCTATGTCCTCTGAGGTGTCCTGATCTAGCGGGAAGAAAGAGAGAGAATAGGTTAGGTCCGAAATCATTTCTCAGTATTCTGTACATCAATATTAGATCTCCCCTTAGTCTGCGATAGGACTTAGTTGGCTTGTGTAAATCGTTGTTACGTTATTTTCAAAAAGATGTTGCTCCTTAACCAGTAATATCCACCGGTTAGTGAGACACTGTTTGATGAAATACCCTTTTTCAGTTAGGAATTAAACAGAGATTGAGGGTTCTGCGTAATTTCTAGAGATGGAGGTTGTTTACCTGTTTCAACGTCACCTCGCATTTATAGAAGTAGTTTCTATCACGTGTGTGAACTGAGGAAATCCACTTGTTCACATTAGTATGGAAAGTCAGTGGGAAACTGATGAATCACTGTTTCCGAGATTGCATACTTTTCTGTTAGAGTTGCCTCTTTTTATTGTTTTACGACATACATGAGATAATACTGTTAGTTGTGCTGAAAATTCCCCATATATTCAAGGTGTGACATCTTCCATGTCTGTAACACTAACCCAGTCAGACAGGGTGTTAGGTATGAATGAAGTGGAAGACGCTCTGCTACCAACATTGGTGAGCCCAACTAAAGAAACGCAACCTATTATTGTTAATCCTTATTTCCACCTTAACCTTCTCAATCGGATTTAATTTTTGTAAACCCACTATTCTAATAGTCCTTTGATTAATGGTCACATATATTATCGTAATGTTATATCTATTAGTTCACATAACTTACTAGCTCATTCGATAATAAAAACTGGTCGTCTATATTAACTAATTAGCTTTGATGGTTCGTTAACAAGCTTTAATAGCGTTTACATGCTTCAGCGACATAGGCTTGTTTAAGCATCAAGCTCTAGCAAATATGACCTGTTAGTAGCGTAAATATACATTGACTAACAATGCAATCAAGGATTGAATAGTTATCTGGATCTAATTCCTTCGCTTAACACCTCGTCCTGTTTTAAACTATGCACTATCCTGTAATATCTTTTCTTCCGACCACTGCCTGCCTAATTTCATATTCTCGAGTTCCATTGCCAAACAACAAGGGTGACACTTCTCCAAAAAAATTCGGTGAGTTCCAGCTATAAGTTTTCTGCAATCATGAGTTCATTTTAGATGGCTGATTCAATGGCACACACAATTATCTGGATTCATTCAGTTGTTCTGATCAGAGTGAGTCCCAAAAACCTCGACAGCATCAAGCACCCTGGAAGTGATTGCCATACTGCATGTTTTATTCTGGATGCTTTTGGATCATTACTACTCACGAATGGCGTTATATATGTCGTCCACTGAGTAATCTAATTTTCAAAAATAACCCAGGCGAGTTCAACTATTTTACTTAATGACTTTTTGTACTTAACATGTATATGTTTTCTAGTTGCTTTTGCCATATATTTGTAAGTGTCCCTAGGCTAAATGCATTAACTTCTTACGGAATGTTTATAACGCGTCATATTCTTGCCTGAAGTTTCATAAGCAGTCTTAACTTTAAAATTATCTTTCTGATCATGTTCATTATTTTCAAATTGTCATATACGTCAACAACCTGCATGTTAACCTGGCCCATACATGCGTTGCACTATATCTTCATGTCTTCTAAATTTAGAAATCATTTGAATCACCTTTAACATTTATCGATAAACCCATCATAGTCGTTGTTGCTAATCGTATTTGGGTTTATGGATTAGCCTAAAATGCGAACAGTTTAGATAATAAGATTAAAAATTTAGGTACTATCAACTGCACTAGCAAAATAACTAAATCCTCAGGTAGCTGTTGGTTAAGCAAACGTTTAGAATCAAAACTCCGTAGCCTACTAGAATTAAAACTAAACGAATATTTCTGAATTAAAATTTATAATTAAATTAGGCGTCTCGGATTCTTTAACGTTATAAATTTCTGATAATTTCGAATCACCTCAAGCAACAATACCTATTTTTCCACTGACTAATCCTCATTCAACACTATAACTAGTTAAACATAATAGTTTCAGGATATCGTCATAAAGCATTGTCATGACTTGACAATCACGTAATATGATTGATAAAATTAATGAAACTATTAACAAAATCGGTCAGCGAATTGACTTATAACTATCACTAGTGTTGTTTTTCTTTTATCTTCATTCACTACAGATGATTACAGTATTTTTCTCTACCAGACGCTCACTCAGTAAGTATCTCAAAACCTTTTCAGTCTAATTGATGGTTTAGCGACACAATCATGCATGCAAATAATCAGTATAAGCAGTCGAGCAAATCTCCTGTAAACTGAAAACATCAATGTCGAATTTACCCCAACACTGACTAAGGTTCAAGCCATTATCATAGACATGAGTTGGGAGTGTACTCCCCTTGGTTACAACTTATGTACTCCCTGATAATCACATGAGCATCACTCACTGTTAATTATCTTGTACAAACTTATTTAGCCGAATACATCTTGCAGCACCACATCAACTAGTAATGTGACACATAAGCTTCACTGATTTCAATAACTTATAATCACCATATCTCAATTAAATCGTATTCCGCCTTATGATAAACTGCATACTTGCAACTAACTTGTATGCATCATCAGCGGTCAGGTATAAATATGTATAAATAGTCTATCGCAGATCAGAACATTGAGTCTAGAGCATGTCTCTTACGAATACACTCATGTTTAACGATTTGTTCCTAGCTATCTGTCCAAAATTCATATAATTATCACTCATGTATTTAAATTTTGTTTTGATAACCATTCATGTGTATTAGTAGTATTACTGAATTCTATCACGGTCAAGTAAAAATGAGGTTGAGGAAATCTCCCCGTAACTAAATAAACCGTATCAAACTAACTGGAACACTAGTTGGAATTCTTCTCCACGGTATACTTCTGTTCCTTCAGTTAGCCTACTAATACAGATGCAATTGGAATTCAACTCATATGGACAACTTACCGGCATAATCGTTATTTGATTTCATAATTTTAACCAAAACTAATACCAATATTAACATTTCTACAATATTCATTACTTTAATATTTCTAAACACAATATACTTACTGCCTATACGTTAAGTTATTAACACGCATCGTTTTATTATTATTATTGTAACCCCATTTTTTATAGTTCAAATAATCTTCAACCAAATTTTCATTTTAAGCGTGTTAATCATGAAGGCAGATATTTTAAGATTATTACATGTATTTCCCGACCAGATGCTGCTGCCTTCTTTTTGATTTATCTTTCAGCTTACCAATACCCGGAGGATTCTTATTATCCTTGGTAACCTCCGGCGCGCGACGATCCCATCCAATTTGGTATCGAACCAACATCACGTTGATTCTGGTGGGAGAGTAGTGTAGTGGCATTGGACAATAGCCACACAATCCACAAAGCTGTGAACACGAGACTACTCAGGAAATAGATATTCAATATTTAACGCGGAGAAATACCTAACGATGGAGAAGGCGCGAACAATGAATTGAATGGACTGGAGTTGATCGTATGGCATGGCTCGGCCATGCAGGCGTGGTCCATCTCAATGTTACTTTATATCTTCTATTCATATTAAATATATTGTTCTTTCTCTAGCCTAACCTTGTTCTACATCATGTATTGGTAATTGATACGATACAGTGAGTTGGTGTAGTCGATGGTGTGACTTCCACGTAAGATCTTATAGATTAGGCAGTTATATCATGACAAATCTACAAATTTAGGATTAGGTCTATTATTAGAGCAGTACTAATATCATAGTAGACCATAATTCTACAAGTTTTCAATGTGTCGATACATTAGAAGCGTTCGATGCGTGGCGCAATGCCTTCAGGGAGGATATGTCCAGTAAAACCAACGAGGCCAGTATCAATGTTAAAAATTTATAGAACTATTTATTTTGAGGATTTATTTACTACTTCGGCTCACTCCTACCCTAGTGGGTTAGTCATAACCCTAAGGTATGATCAGCCAGACGTTTAAACCCGACAAGCTTGTGATTAATAGACACTCTTCTAATATTTTTCCACGTTCAGCAGTATCTGATCGTTTTATCTTAGTATATGAAGCCACGGGTTACAGCATAACAATAAAAATGTACACTAAGAATTTCGCTTCAGCTTATTCTACGTCGGTTCTTCTTATTTTCCAGGATAAGTGGAAAAGAAGAAAAGAGAAAATGTACATGCATGTCAAAATACACTGGTATTTGCGTGAGGAAGCAAAGCGAGAGAAATAAAGCTTGGTAAATATGTATATATGTGCCATGTGACAGCTCAAAACGTTTCGCGTTCAGACGTTCTTTCTAAATTTGTTTATAAAAATGCACGTTCGTATAGGCATTTTAGGAAAAAGACTTTTTATACATGATGAAAAGAAACATAAATGACCGAATGACTGAAAGACGCGATCCAAAGAAAACTGTCTACGATATCCAAGGTGCACTTGTCGTTCGGGTGTTCTGAATCCCCTCACCCTTCTTCTTGTTTTTGGGACGGTTTTCGGACTCTGGTCTAGAAAACAATTCAACATGACTGGTGCTTTACTCAAACAAGCAGCTTCAAGACGGTAGATTCTGATGTCACTGTTAGTTCCGTTTTTCGATAGTACAGTACATAGTATTGAGATGAAAGGCCCTGTAGAGTCATTACTTTGTAGCTTTGGAATTTCGGTTTATTGAGTCATGACGTACAAACACATGAATTTAAAATCGCGAGGCAAATCCGGGAGAAACATCAGTTGACTATGATCCAGTGGAAATAGATTTAAATGA